CTACATCCAACTATTGCTTTCCTTTAATAATCTTAGTTATGAGGCTAGTATTATTAAACTGATATATATCCCAGGAGCAGGCATGCTCAGATATAAAAGGGCTGGATACAGCATAAACTCAAGCAGTATCAACAGTCACACTTTTATTTTGCTTTAAACAGACAATTGGTCCAAGCTGTACCAAGAGTCCCTCTAAATAATCATATTTTTGCGTTAATAGGAAAGCTGTGTTTTGACCTTTGAAGCAGCACGCTTTCTTCTTCAGAAGGCTCATATGTATCATAACTGGATACATCTAAGCGTTGCTGAGATCCAGTGTTCAGATGATATCACTCTGAACTAATTAATTGTATTCAAAAGTCTGCCCAAGTCAGAGGAAAGGGAATGCTGTGGTTGCCAGTAATAGGAAAGCTATTAGGAAACACATCCCCTGGGTCAAATCCTCCAATGCTGAACTTGCAGTCAACCAAACTTCCCTTCAAGTCAGTGGAAGTACTTTTCTAAGTAAAGAATGAATAAGATATGAAGAAGGAGAGCGAGCCAGCAATGGAGGGAGACAGTTGTCTTGAGTTTAAACATGGGAGCAGGACCAGGAAATCCTGGACTCCCCTGTCCACTGAACCAGGGAATGACTGAATGAGTCTGGGAAGATGACTTAACTCCTTGTGCCTGTGGCCTCTGATTCATGGGCAACTAAAGCAGATGTCTGCGACGGGCTGACGTGCTGTCTCCCTGCAGCCATCTGCCCTGCTGCTGCAGTGCAGCAGATGAGGGTGTATGCTCCACAGCCTGACCTGCTAATACCAGCCTGTCTTTATCAGCAGTTTATGTGTGTATGGCCGACCGTAAGCTGAGCCACCTCCTTCTAAAGGGGCAAGGACTTCTGGCAATCGCAGACAGCGACACCAAACTGCCACCGCATGATTTGCTGCCCTTGTACGCCAGAGCCCTTATTCTTTCCTGCTGGGAATGGTTGCAATATCCCTCCACTTTAGGGGAAACTGGATGTGAAATCTAACAGATTAAGATTTGTGAAGTACTTTGAAATCCTAAAATAGCAAGGGTGAAGTACTGCCTTCGCTCTTTCTCTCACATGCACAAAATGGTACCTGTTTTTCATTTTATTTTGGGGATTTCCTGCAGCAAATTATGTAGTTATTTGCTCATTGGATTTGGTTTTCAGGTCCTTGATGTATGTTAAGCAGTTTCATTTTGATGTCACTGATGATGCTGTAGTTGCAGTATGACCAAGGAAGAAGATGGCTTAGCTCATGGTAGATCAAAATCGGATGAAACACAGCTATAAAATATATGAAATCAGAAAGCAGCGTAGAGAAGATACTGATCCTTTGTTGACATCCTCTAGGGCCAGGCCCACTGCTGATGCAAAGTGACATTGCCAGCTGAAACCCTTCTTCAGAGAAGAGCTTACAGAAATGGCCCTGTTGAATAACCAGCCTGATAAATGGCTTTAACCTTGATCCAAGCCTAAGTGTGATACCAGCTGACCATCAGCTGAGAATCAGACCTGCATCTACAGTGCTCCTTTAAAAGCTCCAGCTGCTGGTGACTCTCTTTAATTCATTATCATCATACCAAAAAAATGAGCCCCTTTATGATTCAGCAAAGAATAACATTGCTGGTCTGAGATCCTGGAAGCCTAGAAACCATCAGTTTTTTTTATTTTTACTCTGAAGGAATTTCCTTTTTTAATATTGCTGTGCTGTCTACTGCCAAAGCCAGGAAGTTGACTATCTATGGACAACAGTGACCAAAATTTGGTTTTCCTGGAATTTTCTCTTTTCCCTCCGCACACCCACACAATAGGCTTTTCAGGATGCCTGCAGTCTGTAATTTGCCTTTCTAGCCTGATAATGTGGCTTGCAGAAGCACCAGTTTTGCCAAGTCATCATCTGGAAGGAACACTTTCTTATGCAACAGGCTTCATCTTCCCCCCTCCGTGTCCTATGGCCCATGGTTGCCACCAAGGCCGGCTTCAGCCGAACCACCGTGCCAACACTGGGAAATGGGAGAAAGACCATGAAGTCTGGAATAGGGCCTGAAACTTTCAATTTCAAAAGGCACAGCCCAGAAAACAGAGGGATCAAGAACCCAGCGCTGTGGTTTCCCTTTGCCTGATTAAAGAAAATAGCTGCTGTCTATTTTTACTATAAATGTGGGACATGAGGTCCTTTGCTTTCCTTGTACAAAAGGGGGGATGCTGCTCACAATGAAAGAGTGAAGGAGTGGAGCACAAGAGGTCATCCCAGATTAAAACCAGCTGCCTGGTCCACAGAAATCTCTTCCATAGATTCTTCAATTTTTTTCTTTCAAGACAGGGACAGGATTGATCTCTTCCTTTTCCTATAGGTCATTATCACCATGCTGTCTGGTATTCCCAGTGCATTCACCACAACAAATCAATGATGATGCTATCATTAAGAATACGTAGCTAGAACATGTCTCCCCAGCCAATATTCTAGCTGATTAAAGAAAGACCAGGAGAGGGAAAGACATCTAACGGGCAATGAACTATATACCTTGCAGAAAATGAAAGCCATCTGTACAAGCGTAGAAAGAGGATTCTAGTGTGTGAAATCTACTGAGTGTGTTATATATGTGACCTTTGCGTCCACTGCCATGAGTAGTATTTTGAACTTCTAAACCTCTGATCAAAAAGATTTTTTCGTTTGCAAAAAAACACCACCTGAACACAGAGAACAAAGACTTCAGTCTTGTTTTGCTTGATTATTAACTATGTATGTTTGTTCTTGATTAAAAGACTGTGTTTTTAGATGACTGAAAATACTAAAAAGTACCAAACGTGTCGAAATGGCATACACAGAAGTAACTTGTATGGCAGATGACTCAGTCGCTAACTCCTTTGGGTCTTTGTTCCTTAACTCAAAATGGATATACGTGTATATACTGAGGAGTACTCCAGCAGAACTCATCAGAGATGTTCCAGTTGCGTCCCCTTTATATGACACTGCATCCCCAAAGTCCTCAATTTCTACAAATTCCTCAATTTTTACAAATTCCATTTCTCCATTCCGTTCTGAACATGAATATTCTCCCCTACGATTCCAGACGGGGATTGCTGCTATGAGTTGAATTTTGGCTTATCTCAGTCTGAGTCCCTTTATCATTCCGCAGTACACCCAGAATGGTCTTTGCCCAGTAACACGGCACTATTAAATGGAATATACTGCCCTGAGCAAAGGAGTGTTACAGGAGTGTATGTACTACTGAGATGCTTCATTTCAGATGATAAGGCAGTCAAAACTTGCAGGGAATAATGGAAAGCAGCAGAGTGAGAGAAGTAGATAATCTAGAAGGTATTTCTCACCTTGAACATTTATGATTATAATTAATCATTTGCTTCCACTGCTGCTGCAATTGCCATAGTACAGCACCATCCCAGTGACGGATGGTCAGAGGGTTATATGGGCCAGTCACCTCATTCAGACACATTCCTTTTCACAACCTGTATGAACTTTCGTAAAAACAGACCTCCTGAGCTAAAGTTTCCTAGTATGTTTTCAATTCAATGGGGAATTTTTAAATGTGCAAACTTGAAGGCGATCCATTATCCTGGTCTTCCAATTATAGAATCTGTTGTACATTTTATAGACTGTTTTCTGGCTCTTCCTGGTCTTCTGCTGATAAAAAGCAACTGTAAGTCTTCACATCTGACACACAAGCAATCCAGAAAGTAGGAGTGATTCCATGCTCTGCTTGGAAAATAAAATATTTTGAAAAGAAGACATTAGGAAGTTTGGGGGCATGTAAGAAGTACCCTCAAGGATATTCAAAGGAGACAAGTCTGACTGAACTGAGTTGCCTAGGAAACTCAGAACATCCCAATTTCTGTAGCCAGTAACACAAGAGAGAGCCATGCGGCTGGAATTATATTCAGTTGCCTCTAATCTCCATACCCAAAAGCAATTAGAGCAAGTAGACGTGGGCTCAGGTACCAGTCCAGAGCAAATCCTAAGCATGTACTTCTGGACCTGCAGGGAGCCACCTCAGTCCCACTGGCACCACGCTCCTTACCTGGCATCACAGAGCCAATTCTTAGTTATCGTGTCCATTAGAGCAGTACCTAGCGTTCCCATTTGAGATGCCTACTATGCTGTGGAAGTCACAGTACAAAGTTATTTGAAAGTCTGTGTTTTCCCTGAAAAATAGGAAGCGTAAACAGCTGCTCAGTACACAATTTGCAAAGGCTAGTATTTCCAAACTATTGTTAATTATTTGAAAAAGCAGCAATGCCTGACAACCCTTATCTCTGCAGACACTGAGGTTGCTATCTTCCGTGGAGCCGCACCAGTGACAGCACGAGGGTAACTTCTGGAAGCAAGCAGGCTCAGTAGGGACCTGCTTGGGGTATGCACACAGCAGATTATGTTCATAGCCTTGAAGGATTCTGGACATAAAACAAAACAAAACAAACTATAGAACTAAATACTGAAGTTGTAAAGAAGAGGTAGATGAAGATGGAAACCTTCCAGTCAGTTCCAGGACTGTCCCGTTCGGACGGGGTGGCCGTGCCCTGGGCACACAGCTGGCTCTTCTGACAGCTCGGCACCGCCTTAGGCACATGGGAGCGCCCTGAGAATAAAGGGGGTGAAAGAAGGGGTTGATGGGGGATTGCTGAGAGACGGGGCGATACCGG